AAAAAAAAAAAAAAAAAAAGTAGTAGTAGTAGTAGTAGTGACATGAGACGTAAATAAACCAATATAACTTACTAGTATTAAAGAGAGAGAGAGAGAGAGAGAGAGAGAGAGAGAGAGAGAGAGAGAGAGAGAGAGAGAGAGAGAGAGAGACAAGTTCAATTATTCCGGTGATAGGAACGAGACAACGCAACTAAATAAGGTTTCCATCTGTTGTTTTCACTTGACGAGCTAAGTCATTTACTTTTACTTTTAAGACAAAACTTCCCTATCTCCCCAGCTTCCCCTGCACATTTCTTCCTTAGTTCAGGGTGAGGGAGAGGACACTGCTTGTTCAACCTCAGTATATTGGTCTTAATTACTCATCAAAATAATAAACATTTCTAATTACTAATGATGATGCGGAGGTAATTAACGCCGAGCTAATTATCTTTGAGAGAGATATTTAATAGTTATATATTACTGGTGTCTCTGGTATCTTTATATTTTGTTTTTATTTATATGAATATTAATGCTTGTTTGTTGTTGTTGGTGATGGTGGTTGTTGTTGTTGGTGGTGGTGGTTGTTGTGGTGGTGGTGGTTGTTGTTGTTGTTGTTGGTGATGGTGGTTGTTGTGGTGGTGGTGGTGGTGGTGGTTGTTATTGTTGGTGAGGTGGTGGTTGTTGTTGTTGTTGTTGGTGGTGGTGGTGGTGAGGGTGGTGGTTGTTGTTGTTGGTGGTGGTGGTTGTTGTTGTTGTTGGTGATGGTGGTGGTGGTGGTGGTTGTGGTGTTGGTGGTGGTGGGTGGTGGTGGTTGTTGTGGTGGTGGTGGTGGTGAGGTGTGGTTGTTGTTGTGGTGGTGGTGTGGTGGTGAGGTGGTGGTGGTGGTGGTTGTGAAGGTGGTGGTGGTGGTGGTGGTGGTTGTTGTTGTGGTGGTGGTGGTGGTGGTGGTGGTGGTGGTTGTTGTTGGTGTACCACGATAACTGCTACATTCCCTCAGTATGAACGTGAATATACCAAACTCTCTTCCTTCCTTCCTTCCTTCTTCCCTCCTTTATCTCCCTCTCTCTTCTCCTTCCCTTCCTCCTTCTCTCCATCCATTCCTACTCTTCTCTCCTCGCTTCCTTCATCTTACACACAGACAGACAGGCAGACAGCTTGATCACCAGTTCATAAACAATAATGATATGTACATTTCCTTAATTAATAACAATGTTTTTAATTACTTAATCACAATACTATTAAGGTAATTATGAGACCAGCAGGAATTACTTCTACTACTACTACTACTACTAATAATAATAATAATAATAATAATAATAATAATAATAATAATTAATAATAATAATAATAATAATAATAATAATAATAATAATAACGACAACAACCACCACCACCGCATTAACAACCATCACCACCACCACCACCACCACAACAACAACCACCACCACCACCACCACCACCACAACATCAACAACCACCACCGCCACCACCACCACCACCACCAACAACAACAACAACAACCACAACAACAACAATTAACATAAAACCACATTAACATAAAGTACCATTTCCTGATCACTTCACTAATGACGAAAACATTACAGAGTTCACCTGATTCCTGGTAATTTCGTGAGAGAATTTAATGGGATTCGTGGTATCAGCGTCTTGGGGGTTGGGGTGGCGATGAACGGTAGAAAATAGGGTGGAGGAAATAGGGTGGAGGAAATGGGGTGGAGGAAATAGGGTGGAGGAAATGGGGTGGAGGAAATGGGGTGGAAGAAATGGGGTGGAGGAAATGGGGTGGATAAAATAGGGTGAGGAAATGGGTGGAGGAAATGGGGTGGAGGAAATGGAGGAAATAGAATGGTGGAGGAAATAGGGTGGAGGAAATAGGGTGGAGGAAATGGGGTGGAGGAAATGGGGTGGAGGAAATGGGGTGGAGGAAATAGGGTGGAGGAAATAGGGTGGAGGAAATGGGGCGGAGGAAATGGGTGGAAAAACAGAGTGAAAAAATCAATCATCTATCATTCCCCCAATTCTCACTCATCCATCCGTCATTCATCCATCCGTCATTCACCCATCTACCATTTACCCAATTCTCATTCACCCATCCATCATTAATCCACTATTCAACCATTATTCATCCACCATTCATCCATCACTCATCCACCTTTCATCCATCACTGAAGCTCTAAAATAAAACCCATACTTAACCTAATCACTCGATGACAAATTAATTTTATCGCCACACAGTTAAAGCTCTTTGGTGGTTAATTCCCAATTGGTGTTTTAATGAGGATAATTTGACATAATATATGACCTTTTCCCTGACCTTTTTCCCTGACCTTTTCCCTGTCAATAATAATAATAATGATGATGATAATGATAATAATAATATTAGTTTTGTCGATATTTTTATAGATTTTTCGTTCGTTATGTGCGGGTGTGTGTGTGTGTGTGTGTGTGTGTGTGTGTGTGTGTGTGTGTGTATGGCTCATAAACTTTGGCATGTCAATTTTGGTTCCACGCGGGGCAAGTCAATTTGAAACTAACGAGAACTGACTAAAATCTTCTTGGTGGTAATTTAAGAAGAAGAAAACTTATGGTCAGAAACTCTTAAAACTTTCGATTTGTTGCTCAAATTATAAAGAAACTTTGTAAGAGAAGGACACCAGGACTTACCTTTTATAAAATCTACAGCCTGTTCCAATCCGTAGGTGTCCTTGTCGCAATCGTCGAGAATGTGAGCCCCAAGCTTTACACCTGGGATGAAGTCTTCTTGGTCATTAATGAAATCCAAGGTGTATAACATGGCCTCCAGCGCCTGTACACCTCCCTGGGGCATAATGGGGCCACACACTATATCATTATGGCGTTCGTGCACCATCATGAGGCCACCGAGCAAAATTTTACCCTGTGTCGCCACTAACTTCCTCGCTGGCCATGTAAAGTTAAGTCCCACTGTTTGACTTTGTTTATGTGTGAGCCGTTTAGTCCGTGAGATGTACCCGGGTAAGTCCCTCCTGGGCACGTATCGACTCTCGTATAGCAAAGTCCTTAGGTCATACTCGAGATCAGGAGTGTGAAATGACAGGGAGGGCGTAGAGATATCGAGGAGGAGCCCCAACAGGAGAACGAGAGAGAGAAGAGGGAGGGGTAACTGCCTAGGTCGCATGTTAAGAGGTTCACCACCGTCTAAGGTCACGCTACTTTCACCCTCACCTTCCCTCTACCTCGGTCACATTGTTCATTCCCTCATCATTATCTCACGTCACTAATCACTTCCACAGGATATTATTACATCACTATTTTTTTTCACTCTTTCAACTGTACACTATCACTACACTTGTTGACATCTCCTTGACTAAATCGACCACTGCTACACAACATAATTTCCCACTCAATTTTTTTTTTATTTACGTGTCACTTCCACAAATAATCACTAAGGTTATTTATGCTTATTTTCACTTTCTTATAAAATCATAAACAACATCTCTAGAGTCTTGGCATCTCGTTGGGTACTTGTAAGGTGAAGTTTGTCTTACATTTGACTGGACGTTGACTGATCATGTTGTGGGAAGCTCTTGTCCTTACTGAAACAGAGAAAATATATGATTAATGATTATATTTTAGCGAATAAGGGGAGAGAGAGAGAGAGAGAGAGAGAGAGAGAGAGAGAGAGAGAGAGAGAGAGAGAGAGAGAGAGACAAGCAGACAGACAGACAGACAGATACTCTTTTAGAATTCCCTTTATCCTATGAGCATATACCAACTAAGGTGTCGAACTAAAACACCTTCTCACAATAGACACACCCACCCCCCCCTACACCTGTAATTAGTCCCAGTAAGGTGTATCCCGAGTACCATTTATAACACGCTGTAATACCAGGAACCATATAAACTCCCCCTTCCCTACCACCTCCCTCCTCCCCCTCCTCCACCTTCCCCCCCCTCTCTCTCCCTCCTCCACCTTCCAACACCTGTATCGTGTTAATATTCCAGGAAAATTATCAAACAGGTATAGTGAAGATAATGGGTTTTGGTGTTTGGGGAGGAAGGGGAGAGGGGAAGAAGAAAGGGGGGTGGGAAGGGGAGGGGGAAGGGAGGGGAGAGAGAGGGGGGGAATCAGCTTTCTTACAACACTACACGAGAGAAACATATCAGCCATTTTTGTTTTTCCTCACATAAATTTACAAGATTTATTTTCCTTAAATAACAAAAACAAAATACCAAAAATCATATACGATTCCCTTCAAAAAAAAAATAAAAATATCCAATCTAATATAATTTTAAACCATTATTATAAAACCTCCTAAACATTTAATATAAAACACTTAAACCAACACAGCTATATTCTCCCACCTATATAGTGTTGAGGGTAGTGAGGGTGCCAGTGCCATCTGTGTGAGGGGGTGGGGGGGAGGTCATGGGTATGTAGGTCAAAGGTCATGGGTATGTAGGTCAAAGGTCAGTGGCACATAGGATTGAAATAGCACCTCAAGTCTCAACGCCTCTCTGAAGTGTGATATGAAGTGTGTTGACATGAGAGTTAAGGAGGAAGAGGAGGAGGAGGGGAAGGAGGAGGATGAAGGAAGAGGAGGAGGAGGGGAAGGAGGAGGAAGAGAAAGAGGAAGAAGAAGAAGAAGAGCAACAACAACAAGAATAAGGAAGGACGAAAAAAGAAGAAGAAGAAGGAAGAAGAAGGAAGAAAGGAAGAAAGAAGGAAGAGAAAGATTAATATATCAATCTTCAATTTGTTTTACTCTGGTGTCTGCCATCGAGGAAATCTGTTCATCTTATCTATTTATATAAGATCTTTCTTCCTAGGGTCACACAGAGAGTCACTATGTCTTATTGCGTTACGTGATTGACCTGACATAAGTACGCACACGTGTGAGTAGGTATAAACGTACATAGATTTGAATGTATGAACGTAGATATCTGATGTATATTTGTGTGGGAGGTTAGCTTGGCAGGTGGGTCATAATTCTAACGGGCCCCAGTTCTAACGGGCCCCAGTTCTAACGGGCCCCAGTTCTAACGGGCCCCAGTTGTAACGGGCCCCAGTTCTAATGGGCCCCAGTTCTAATGGGCCCCAGTTCTAACGGGCCCCAGTTCTAACGGGCCCCAGTTCTAACGGGCCCCAGTTCTAACAGGGCCCCAGTTCTAACAGGGCCCCAGTTCTAACGGGCCCCAATTCTAACGGGCCCCATTTCTAACGGGCCCCAGTTCTAACGTGCCCTAATCCGAATGATCTACAATTACAAGGGTTAGGTTAGGTTAGGTTAGGTTAGGTTAGGTTAGGTTAGCTTCACACAACCACTCAATTACGGAGCCGTATGTCTGTGTGTGTGTCGTCATAGGGAACACATCGTTTATATTAATCGACAAACGTAGTTAACCTTGTACCCTAACAACCATTGTCAGCCATTTATATCTCACGTTACATACAATCTGATGAACCTTTGAACAGTAACCAATATATTTAATTGAATAGTTGTAGCTCTATCTCTCTTTCTCTCTCTCTCTCTATCTGTTTGTATCTCTCTCTGTCTGTCTGTCTCTCTGTCTGTCTTTCTCTCTGTCTCTGTCTCTCTCTCTCTGTCTCTATCTATCTGTCAGTCTGTCTGTATCTAAAACTGACGCATCATTCAATCTCAACTTAGATAATATTTACTAACATTTACACTAACTTCAAACAACAGTAAAGACAACACCACATTAACCTAACCTAACCTAACCTAACCTAACCTTACCTAACCTAACCTAACCTAACCAAACCTAACCTAACCAAACCTAACCAAACCTAACCTAACTACCTAACCCTAAACCTAAACCTAACCACCTAACCTAACCTAACCAAACCAACCCAACCTAACCTAAGCCCTAACCTAACCTAACCTAACCTAACCTAACCTAACCAAACCTAACCTAACCTAACCTAACCTAACCTAACCTTACCTAACCTAACCAACCTAACCTCCCAACCCAACCTAACTAACCTAACCTAACCTAACCTAACCAAACCTAACCTAACCTAACCTAACCTAACCTAACCTTACCTAACCTAACCAAACCTAACCTAACCTAACCTAACCTAACCTAACCTAACCAAACCTAACCTAACCTAACCTAACCTAACCTAATCTGTACTTACCACACTAACAGGAGAAACTTCAGAGGCATAAAGGATCTAATTCACTTCCCTTACATGACGGAGTATATTTATATTTTTATGGTCCTGATGAGGCTAAGGGAATTATGGGTAAAAATTCACATATATCGACGATTTGATTGGTTACAGTCAGTCCTATGTAATGTTCTGTGTTCTGATTGGTGCATTACATTCTAACTACCAGATCAAAGCCTAACAACTTTCCTAGATCAATACGAGTTGTTTATTGGTTGTTGGGGTGGGGGTAGGGGGGTGTGTCTTTCTCATGTATAGGAATGGCGTCTGGTGTAGTTATATACTGATGGAAAATACATACAATATACAGGTATACAGGGGGGGGGGGTAGGTGTATACTAGAATTGTATGGTGAGGAAGAATTTGGTGTTGGTACATTCCCAGAGTGAGTGCTTCATTGCTTCATTGCTTCAGTGCCTCAGTGCTTCAGTGCTTCAGTGCTTCAGTGCCTCAATGCTTCAGTGCTTCATTGCCTCAGTGCTTCATTGCCTCAGTGCTTCAGTGCCTCAGTGCTTCATTGCCTCAGTGCTTCATTGCCTCAGTGCTTCAGTGCTTCAATGCCTCAATACCTCAATGCCTCAGTGCCTCAGGGCCTCAGCAGACCAATAAGGTGCCACTATTTGAGTCATTGTTGTCTGTGAGTGGCATTGTCACGAGGCACTGCACTTGCACTCATTTCCCCTGGGCACTACTAACGGTGCCCTCCAGTAACGCACTGTATAGCAATGCTCTCATCGTACAAGTTTCACCACTGTTGGCGAACGATCGTCTGGCGTATATCCCTTAAGGAATTCATTGTGAGCTGTATGAAAAGTCAGGCTCTTATTGGCGTTGTTTTTTCTGCTGCGAGATTCTGTATCAAGATGACTCAAAACTGTAACTAAAACGGAATACATTATTGCTGTAAGACTCACCCTCCCGACACACACACACACTCACTCACTCACTCACTCAGCCTGTAACTAAAACTGACTGTAGAAGCCAACATTATATTATCCACCGCTTCCACATACTTAACGAACCATAACAAACGTAGAAATTAACGAGTGAAATCCACATACTTAACGAACAACAAGAAACGCAAAAATTAACGAAATACTACACGATTAACGAATGAAATCCACATATTTATCTAACCACACGAAACGTAGAAATTAACGAAAAACTACACGATTAACGAATGAAATCCACATATTCATCTAACCACACGAAACGTAGAAATTAACGAAAAACTACACATATAACGAATGAAATCCACATTTTTAACGAACAACAACAAACGTAGAAATTACCGAAAAACTACAGATTAACGAAAGAAACAATTTTAATCACAGGAGTAACAACAATGCCTCTGGTTGACCTTGCATGATAGAAATACAAGGGCACTATTGATGGGGAGAGAACACTGGAGAAAAAAAAAAGAAAAAGTTGCAATTTGCATGACGCATGATTGCATAAAACAAGGCGTTGCATAATGTATGGAAATTGCATTGTATTTGTATTCGGGGTTGCAGAGAGTTGCTACATTGCTAGGCGAAATATAAAGCTGGAGATAATGTATGAAGCTGTGTGATGTATGAAGCTGTGTGATGTATGAAGCTGTGTGATGTATGAAGCTGTGTGATGTATGAAGCTGTGTGATGTATGTGATGTATGAAGCTGTGATGTATGAAGCTGTGTGATGTATGAAGCTGTGTGATGTATGAAGCTGTATGAAGCTGTGTGATGTGAAGCTGTGTGATGTATGAAGCTGTGATGTATGAAGCTGTGTGATGTATGAAGCTGTGTGATGTATGAAGCTGTGTGATGTATGAAGCTGTGTGATGTATAAAGCTGTGTGATGTATGAAGCTGTGTGATGTATGAAGCTGTGTGATGTATGAAACTGTGTGTGATGTGTGAAGCTTAATGATGTATGAAGCTGTGTGATGTATGAAGCTTAATGATGTACGGAACTTAGTGATGTATGAAGCTTAACGATAAATGATGTATGAAGCTTAACGATAAATGATGTATGAAGCTTAATTATGTAGGAATCTTTAATGTATATGAAGCTGTATGTTGTATGAAGGTGCAAGATTTATGAAGCTGCGTGATATATGAAGCTGCATGTTGTATGAAGCTTAAAGATGCATGAAGCTTAAAGATATATGAAGCTACATGTTGTATGAAGCTGCATGATGTATGAAGCTGTCTCACTATTGAATTTCCAGTATGAAATGACGTGTATGATATATCAATTGGTCTGGTGTATGTATGTATGTATGTATGTATGTATGTATGTATGTATGTATGTATGTTTTAGTTACAAGCCTCCAATTATTCTCACCTAATTAATTGTTATGAAAAAATTGGGTCTTTCCACAGCGCAAAAAAAAAAAAAAAATCACGTCTCAAAAAATTA